TGTGCCTCTTTGAGATGGCACAATACTACGCCGTTCACTTGCAGAACGCAAGCTTCTAGAGGCACATAACTCTGAAGAAATGAATTTAGGTAAATGGGTGCAGAGCCAGTGGTGGTTTTGTAGGCAAACATTAATGCCTTGAATTTTATGCAAGCAGCTACTGGTAGCCAGTGCATATTGATGAACAGAGGTGTGACATGCATTCTTTTCGGCTCATTAAAGATTAATCTTGCAGCGGCATTTTGGATTAATTGTAGAGGTTTGATAGAAGTGGCTGGAAGACCTGCCAAGAGAGCATTGCAATAGTCCAGTCTGGATAGAATAAGAGCTTGAACAAGGAGTTGTGTTGCATGGTCTGAAAGAAAGGGCCTGATCTTCCTAATGTTGTATAAAGCAAATCTGCAGGACTGGGCAGTTTTAGCAATGTGGTCTGAGAATTATTAATATTAGCATCACTTTTAAAAGTAACTTTCCCCAACACTGCACACTGGTGAGTGTCTGGATGGTGGCAGAGATTCACACTCCCGTGTGTGTCTGTGTGTTCATCTAAAGTACCAGATGAGTAATGAAACAAGCATGGAACTGAAAAATGAGGCAGACAATCAATTAACAAAACAGGTTGTAAATAAGTGAGTTTTGAGTCATTATTAGTGGGATACCATCATTCTTACAATAACTGTTAATGATAATTTAATCTTGCTGTGCTAGTGAGCATACTGTATTTCTATATTTCTGTGAGGCTAAATACATCAGTGACTCAGAATGTTCCAGCATCTCTCGTGATTCAGTGAGAACTGTGGAACTAAGTAGCCTTAATTCTCTTTCTTGAAGTAGTATGAAAAAAAAAAATACAAAAAAAACATGAAGTTTAGAGGGATGCTGGAAAATTAGCTACAAGAGTAAGATCCAGAAAACTGCATTTAAAAAAAAAAAAACTATTTCTTTAACATTATCCAGAGATATGAAATAGTTCTGTAAGAGGACTGACAAATTGTATTTATTTATTTGGACGAGCCATAACACAACTGAACTGTACAGAGCTGTGTGATCGGTGAATAAAGAGTTCTTTATCTGCAGCTGCAGTGAATCATGTCTGTCCTGTCACAGATCACCCAGCGGAAGATCACTTGCTACTCTACAACAGATTCTGAGAACAGGGGAATAACATTATACCAGAGTCTGTAAGTGCTGAGGTCAAACCTGACTGTGGCTGTTTATGACACGCAGCTCAGGTTGCTGTCGTGTGTTTTGAGTTTGAGCTCCGTCAAGTTAATTCTTTGTCGTCAAATTTTTTATCTTAAAATCAATTTTATACACCATCATTTTCGTTTCTATAACGTGTGAATATATCCCCTATCGTATTCTACAACAAAAACAATCAGAGCGCCTTGTTATCACTAGTTTTATTTTGATTTCCCGAGTCCGCTATTAACAAATAGCCCGCTAGCATCGCCAGCGTGGTTGCCGCTAATCTCGCTTACATTACTAATACACTATTCACTGTTACTTGCTTTAATGGCGGTATGATATCAATAAAAACATGTCGTCAGATTATATTTTTAAGGATGAGTATTGCCGTTTCCATAGACATCAGCGTGTATTTTACAAACTGTACATGTATGGTTTTGCTAGTACTTATGTGTATTTAAATGTCTGAATCAATGAGATTGCCGTTTGCACATTAGTTCCGCCCACTACTGGAGAAAGCGGCAGTTCTTAAATGCTGAAGAATTCCAAAGGAACTCCGTTATTTTGACAGCAAAATACAACAAAGAATATCGTTTACATGTAGCGTGCATAGGTAGCGCGTCAATTCTCTCTCTCCCTCTCTCGCTGCGTGTGTGTGAAACAAAGCGACGGCGAGGCGTGCGCCTTCACACTAGAGTTTACGGTACGATAAATACAGGTGCGTTGCACATCTGAACTGATGAACTGAAAAACAGCACAGATCGCTTGACGGAGAGTGAAACTGATTCGCTCAGTCAGAGAGTGTTCGGCGAGTGAAAATATATCTGAGCTAAACTTG